TCCAGCCTGGGCGACAGAGCAAGATACTGTCTCAAAAAAAAAAAAAAAAGAAAAAAGAAAAAAAGAAAGAAAGAAAGAAAAGAAAAAAACCCTGCATCTTAAGTCCACCCCAAGAGAGGACAGAGAGAATCCAAGGCCAGAAAAGGTGAGTGCACATAGGGTGCCGACGGGGTCGGGGTGCAGGGGGATTCCACCCCAGAGCTCTGCCACGGAGATGGACGAACATCCCTTTCCTCCTGGTTTGGCGAATGACCTAGAACCTTCCCTGCCCTCCCCCACGGTGGTGCCCAGAAAGACCCCTGCCTGCAACTAGAGGGTGCTGACCAAATTCCGGGTCATGGACAGTTTGGTGACTTTCCGCCAGGATTTTGTGTCAGCCCAGCCACACCCAGAATCAGGGCAGGCAGGACGGGGGCCGAGGGGAAAAGGAACAGAGCCAGGAGGCTTTTCCTGGGAGGTCTCCCGGTTGGTTCCGGGTGGAGGAAAAGCAAAGGAGGAGAACTTACCTGGAGGGGCAGCGAGCGGTGGATGATGGCAGCCCACGAGGAGGCCACAGCAGGTTTCCTGGGGCAGGGAGGAGGTGCGAACAAAGAGAAGGAGGAACAAGGAAGTGTACCTTATGGCACACACCTTTCACCAGGTGACCTGGGGTGTTCTGCCTTGTGGCCGGGATGTCGTCTGGAAGCCTATTTCTGGGATCTCCTAATTTCACCCATAAGGTTGGATAAGGGTGCAGGAATTTGGAGACACAGGACATGACCCGGGCTCCACCTGCGGCCTGAAGGCTACGGGGCTTTGGGTGCATAGCTGCTCCATCCATCCATAAAGTGAAAAGGCTGATCTAAAGCACTGATTCTTTTTTTTTTTTTTTTTTTGTCCTCCTTTCTTTCTTTCTAAAGAAGAAAGCACTGATTCTCAAAGTGGGTTCCGTATGGGGCCCCATGGGTTTCTGGGGAGATGATGTGTGCTCAGGCGCAGTGGCTCACACCTGTAATCCCAGCACTTTGGGAGGTGGAGGAGGGTGGATCACCTGAGGTCAGGAGTTTGAGACCAGTCTGGCCAACGTGGCAAAACCCCATCTCTACTAAAAATACAAAAATCAGCCAGGAGTGGTGGTGGGCGCCTGTAATCCTAGCTACTCAGGAGACTTCGGCAGGAGAATCCCTTGAATCCAGGAGGGGGAGGTTGCAGTGAGCCGAGATCGCACCACTACACTCCAGCCTGGGCGACAGAGGGAGACTCCGTCTCAGAAGACAAACAAACAAAGAATCTGCGCAAAGCAGAGGGCCAGGTGCATCAAGGAACTGCAGGAACTCGGCAGGCTGGGTCTCCACAAGCGGAAAATGAGACAGAGCTTATTCTGGGACTGGGCCAAACTCAGTCACATTCAGCCATGGTCCGTGGTGACAAGTTTAGCACCAGGGTGATAAGAAGCCCTTCAAAGCTATGACTCACTGTAGCCTCCACCCCCAGGCTCAAGTGATCCTCCTGCCTCAACCTCTCGAGTAGCCAGGGCTACAGGCACGTACCACTACGCCAGGATGATTCAGTTTATTTGTTGTAGAGACGAGGTCTCGCTATGTTGCCCAGGCTGGTATCAAACTCCTGAGTCAAGTGATCTGCCCCCCTCAGCCTCCCAAAGTGCTGGGATTACAGGCGTGAGCCACTGTGCCCGGCTAGGTTACCATATTAATGAGATGTTTTATCAGGATATGCTGTGCACAGGCCATGGGGGGGGTGCAGAGAAGAGTGGAGAGGAAGAGTAGGATGTTTCAGGTGTCCCAGGAAGCGATGAGGGCCCTCTGCCCCAGAGTGGTGGCCGAGGCTTCCTCTGGTGGCCTCACCAAGTTCCTCTTATACCTCAAAAGCACTCCATTTCCCCACTCTGTCCTGTAAATCACAGAAGTCCAGGGAGCCAGGTAAGCTTCCCGGGATGGAGAGGAGAAAAGAACTGGAAGGCTGTCCTTGGGAGAGGATGGCCTTTAACTCTGTCACTAATTTGGTTTATGTTTTGTAGAGATGAGGTCTCGCTATGTTGCTCAGGCTGGTTCCCAACTCCTGAGCTCAATTGCTTGGGTTCTCAGTTGCCAGCAGTGCAGTGGCATGACCACGACACACTGCAGCCTCCGCCTCCCGGGCTCAAGCGATCCTTCCGCTGAGGCAGAAACTGGGTGCAGAGGTGACCGAGTCTGAAGTCCAGCCTCCACATATGCTGACTTCCCTGTTCTAGAAATCATTTCCAGGAGGCTGCTTCCTGTGGCCCAGGGTTCCACCATCTCAGTGCCCGGCCAGACCCAGGCCAGCGGTGGGCACTGAGGGGAAGGGGCCGGACTGGGGGCTGGCGTCTCCCAGGCAGGCCATTTCCAGAAGGGGTGACCTGAGTCTGCTCTCTGCTCATTACCTTGCTGGGGGCACTGTCTGTGACTGATTAAAACGTCACTCCTGGGGCTATCAGTCTTGGTGTCACTTCGTCCTGGTGTTCCAGGACAGGGGTCCCGATCACACCCCAAGAGAGGGCTCCTGGATCTCAAGCAAGGAAGGATTCAGGGCAAGTCCCTAGGGTAAAGTGAAAGCACGTTGTTGTTTTCTTGTTTTGAGACAAGACTTGCTCTGTTGCCCAGGCTGAAGCGCAGTGGCACAATCTTGGCTCTCTGCAACCTCCACCTCCTGGGTTGAAGCGATTTTCCTGCCTCAGTTTCCTGAGTAGCTGGGACTACAGGCATGTGCCACCATGCCCAGCTAATTTTGTATTTTAGAACACCTTAAGAGATGGGGTTTTGGCCGTGCATGGTGGCTCACGCCTGTAATCCCAGCAGTTTGGGAGGCCGAGGCAGGCGGAATAGGAGGTCAGGGGTTCGAGACCAGCCTGACCAACATCGTGAAACCCCGTCTCTACTAAAAATACAAAAATTAGCCAGGCGTGGTGGTACGTGCCTGTAATCACAGCTACTCAGGAGGCTGAGGCAGGAAAATCACTTGAACCTGGGAGACAGAGGTTGCAGTGAGCTGAGATCGTGTCATTACACTCCAGCCTTGGCAACAAGAGTGAAACTCCATCTCAAAAAAAAAAAGATGCAGTTGCTCTGGTTCACATGCCTCTGAGACTGGGGCCCCAGGCAAGCCTGGATGGGAGGGAT